AAGAATTGTCAAAATCCTTCTTCAACCTGTTTGTGTGGTGTGAAAGAGGCAAAGAGCATCTGTGATGCTTTAATCGGAAGCGTTTGGGGGCAGAGGGGGTGGGGGGGAGGGGCAGGGCGGGAAGCGTGAGATGCCTAGGGAGGTGGCCAGTAGCAACGGAGGAGGGGGGAAGGGGAGGAGATTACGAACAAGATCAAGATCGTCGGCTGCATCGTTGTGGTCTGTTCAATTGACACAGCTGCAAGTTGTGCATGGGTCCAGTTCTATGTACAGGGGATGATGTGGAGGCTTACGATATGACCATTTGAGATTTGAACTCTGAAGTCTTCGGACTAACTGTGGTGCAAGGTAACCCCTCCCTTCGCCGTCAAGTCTGGGATCGAATTAAAGAGGGGTTGTGGGACATGTTATCCTAGCGCTCCGCCGCCCACGAGAGGGAGGGAGTGCACTGGTCGCAAAGTGCCGGTTTTCTTGTATCCCCGTTCATGGAAATCCGAGGTGAGGCGATCGTGAGAGTTCGATATTGTATGCTTCCAGCCAGCGGTAGAAAACGAAGTAGAACATCAACGGATGAATATGATCGAAGGAAGGGATGAGAGAGGCCTTTGGCGCAAGTGGTGAGTAGTTAGGGAGTACACAGAAACCTCCCGCGGTATGATCCGTAGCGAACTAAGTGGCCGTCCAGCTCTTTATGTAAGCTGTTTTTTTTTTCCTGCCTCCTGACAAAGTGAGCGCGCATATATCATCCCGGTCGGTCGATTGTTCGGTTTTCGTTTCGGCAAAAGGCAGCTTTTCCGTCTTGTTGTGGTCTGGTTCCTTTGACTTGTATCAAACAGCTAGTGAGTGGAGACAGTCTGTGTGTGTGTTTGGTTTTCCATTTTTCGCTGGCGATTATGCTTGAAGTTTTTTTTTTTTCTCTGTTTTTTTTTTTTTTTATTAACTTTTTTTCCTTGACAGCTAGTTCCTCCCCTTCCCCCAGGTGCTCATCTGGGGGACAACTTGGATACCATCCATTGATTGAATTCGTTTCCTCGTTCCTAATTCCCATAGCAAAGTATGTTCCAACACTCGCGGTGAAACTCAGACGCCATTGAAGCGTGGACTTCGCTTACCAATTTCCAACAATGATCCAAGCATCTAAGAGAGCCCCTTCCCCTCCCCCTCCCCCTCTCCGTCCCCCTCCCCCTTGCTCTCATCCTGTTGGGTCTTGTGCTGTTTGTGCGCAGCGGTATGCCTCTGTCATGGAGTTCTTTTTGGAAGTCCACGGCATTCAGCCCACTGGCACAGCTCGTCCTTACCTGACTTTCATTGCTTTTCTGGGGCTGCATGTGGCCAGGATTGTGGTCAGATGCATCCTGGGAAGTCTGGCTGTGGGTATGATATCACTGGCACAGCTCATCCCGACTTGCATTGCTTTTCTGGGGCTGCATCTGGCCAGAATTGTGGTCAGATGCGCCCTGGGATCCCGACCATGGGTATGATATCACTGGCGCAGCTCGTCCGGACTTTCATCGCTCTTCTCGGGCTGCATCTGGCTAGGATTGCGGTCAGATGCGCCCTGGGAAGTCCGACCGTGGGTATGATATAATATAAGACGAGTGCGAGGTGTAGTGAACCATGGATACAGTACGCCCATCAGGAGAGGGCTATGGGAAGCGAAAGGCTATATGCACACAAGTGGCTTCTTTTTTGGGGGTTGGAATCTGACCAGGATTGTGGTCAGATGCGTATCCCAGGAAGTCTCGAGTGTGCTATGCTGTAAGATAACCCACAGATTCATCGTTCTTTTTGGTGGAGAGGGACGAGCAAAGGTTAGTAGGTTACCCTCTCCTCTCCTTATATCTTCTTCTTGCCGCTAAATCGTAGACATTGTCATAGCCGTCGGATCTGTCTCTTCAGATAGTGACAGTTTTTCAAAGGTTGTATTTTATCGTGATCTGTATTCGAATTTTTTGAAATTTGAAACTTCTTGAATTTGTTTCTACTGTCGACGAGGTAGAGAGTGAAAGGTTTTAGCCTTTAGGTACGTAGCTATAGAAAGGCGGGAAAAAAATAGGTGGTCAGAAAAGGGGACGCAAATCATTTCTTGCCTACCGTGCCAGAGCAACAACTTCTGGCGCAATGTAATAAAAGCTGAAGAACGATGGACGATATACATCTTTTCATATTCAGATATGGCGATAGATAGATCTTTTCATCGTAATGGCATAGGAGCCTTTTACCCAACCTACACTTGGTTCTTCGTTCCACTTCTGTTCTTCAATGCACGGTTAAGCGGGATCATTGAATATCGAGAGGCGGGAATGTTTCAGGATGCAAGGTGTAGGGATGTCCTCTCCCGCAGCATCACTGCGGGAGGCAGTGGTTATGGCAGGCGGAGGGGAAATCGGGGTAAAGCTCCCCCAGGGCCCACTGTGTGGCCGACCCCTCAGCGAAGACAGGTGGAGAAAGCGGAGAAGACAAGGTTCCGCCCCCAGAAATGGCGATCAACTTCGGCCTTCGGCGTAAGGGAAAATCAGATGAGATGGAAAAGGTTGGGGGTGGAGAGGGGGAAAGTTTCCCCAGACCTAGGTCCTTGTGACATCCTTCTTAGTACTGACTGCAGTGGGAAGAGCGAAATAGTCCCAAAAAAAACATGAAGGAAGATGATGGAGAATTCACAGGAGATGGTTATGGGTGGCGGTAAGTTGCTCCAGGTTCAGGTCCTCGCGGCATGCTGCTTGTGAAACTTACTGTGGTTGGAAAGAGAGAAAGAGTCGAAACGGACGGCATGAAGAGTGGTGACGACGAGGACGAGTGGATGTGTTAAGCACGGAGTGCAGCTTTGGAGTCTAGGGGTGATGAGACAGCGCCTATGACGACCGAAGTCTGTGAAGTGTTCGTGGGGGATATGCTGTTGGGCAAGGAAAGGACGGCATTTCTGAGGGCATAGAAAGTCAATGGCTGTCGTACATCATGACTCTGACGGAGTCTGACCTCATTCTCAGCTGCACGTTTTTGTCGGAAACGGGAAAGGACATGGGAATGGGAAACGGCATGGGTACCACCCATTCGGCAAGGACATGTCCTTTTTCGGAACGGGCCAGCAGCAAAGATTTTGGAACCTGTCAGGATGTGAACTGTGGTCTCCCAATCCGCAGCAGTTGAGAAGAGTTGCTTGTGTGTATTCACGGATTGTGCAAGGAGATGTCAACTGCTCAGATTTCTTCGATCCTCAGTTTCAGCGGATTGGCAGACGTCTCGTGAGAGACCGCATGGCGGGCCATGCAAACAATGTTGCTGAGAGACCGCATGGCGGGCCATGCAAACAATGTCGCGTTATGGACCAGCAGGAAGGAAACTCTGCTTTGCATGATCAGCAGGCCGAGCGACTCACAGCTGAGATCTCGTCGCAATCACTGCCAGGTACGGAGAGAAGGCGCAGGCTGTCGATGGGTTGTTATATCAACAGGGAGGGGTGTGGAACGCAATCAGGGAAGGGTCTGCTCACTGGTACACTAGCGGACACGTCTGACGCGAGGAGTCGAGGACGACATATCAATATCTGGTTGATGAATTCAACGGGCAGTAGATCACGGGATCGATTCTTTGTTGATGCGTTAGGCCAGCTCAGATGACGAGGAGGAGGGCCTGCCACAATGTGTGTGTGGAGCACAGAATGTTTGGCAGGAGTGTGACTGGCTGTTGATGCTTTAGGCCAGCTCAGAGCATGAGGAGGGCCTGCCACTATGTGTTTGTGGAGGACAGAACGTTCCGCAGGAAGGTGAGTGTCTGCTGCTTCAGTGCCAAAATCTCAAGCGGAAGTCGTTTGCCTACTCGCTCCTTGAGGTGGGACAGGGTGCTGCCATCTCTTAATTGGTAATGCATACTGTGAAGGCTTGATGTGTTGCCGAAGCCACTGGTATCTCCAAATAAGCAGAGAGCTATGTCGAGCACCGTGGAGCCGGTGTGTTGTTGTCCTGCAACTCTGCGCACAGCAGCACAGAAATAAACTAGTCCCTCTTCAATAGCACCAGCACCTGCCAGCGGGTTGTGCTGTTGTTCCGCTCTACATGTTCCGGGAGCAGGTTGTGATTTGGTTCCGCTCTGTGACGAAGCGCTTACTTTGAGACCGGTGGGTATCTGTGACCGTGGCACAAAGGGACCGTTGCCATGACCTGACCTGGCAGATGGTGGCTATTACTTTGCAATGACCTGCTGGATGCGGAAGATTTTCTCCGATGACTGGCCAGACGGTGGTGGCGGTTACTTGGCAAACACCTGGCAGCGGACTAATAGTTCATCGCCATGACCTGGCAGATCGAAGGGTGCACTTTGAGATGACCCGGCAGATCGAAGGGTGTACTTTGAGATGGATGACCAGGCAGATGTGGTGGCCACTTTGCGATGACCTGGTAGATGGCGACACCTGCCAGCAGAGAAACAATCTCATCAGCATGACCTGGCAGGCGGCGGTGGTTACGTTGCAGTTACGTGGCAGGCAGCAGGGGTTACACTGCGCTTACGTGGCAGGCGGTGGTGGTTACGTTGCGCTGATGCGGCAGGCGTCGGGGGTTACGTTGCGCTTACGTGGCAGGCGGCGGGGATTACGTTGCGGTTACCCGGCGGCAGGCGACGGTGGTTACTTTGCAGTTACCTGGCAGTTGTGCTAATTAACTTTGTGATGATCTGGCATTTAGTGCTGGTTACGTTGCGATGACCTGTGTCGGCACATAAGGAGGTCACCTGCACAGTGCATGGGTACGGAGGCGGGAGGGGCAGGTCTGACTGGCTGCTATTCTAAACTGCTGAATTCTTCAATCGGTCGCTGCTTTGCCACGTAGTTTGGAGGTGTCCGCGACTTGCGGACGCGGAACGGAGTCAAGGAGGGAAGGTGTTGTAGAGCTTTCGTGAAGAAATTTGAGCCATTGCTGGGGTGGAGATTGTGTACTGCGTACTTCGCTTCAGCGGAAGACCTGGAAGCAAGTGCTTCTGCACTCATGTTGCAGGCCAGCAGCGATTGTGTCCATCAGCCCCAGCGCAGTGTCAGCAGTTCTCGGCCTCTTCTGTGCCCGCCAAACACAGTTTTTGACGGGGTCACTCGTAGTGCGTACACGAGTACCCCGTGGCGAGAAGGGTGCATGTGGCAGATGTTGACGGGGTCACTCGTAGCCAATCATAGTTCAGTCAGATCGTGTAAATGACTGACGAGGACGAGTTTTCGGAAGGTGTTCGCTCTGTGTGGCTGCTGAGGTGTCCATTTGCACAGCTGATGCCTATGCAGCAGAGGGGTCTTTCTTGTGCTAGCAACTTAACAGGGGCACCCTTGTTTAATTGAACGCGGGCCGAGTATTTGAGTCCGGATTTTAGTCTGAGGCCGCCGTAACTCACATGATAACTTTTTCAACTGAGGTCCGGACAAGATTACAGTCACATGCATCGAGGTCGGGCCGTAAATTCCCGTAATTGCAGTCAGATACATTTAGGAAAGTGTGATTGCGAAAAAGCCTATCTGAGTATCGAAAGGTGGATACAGTTTGGGGAACGGACCGTGTCAGAGCTAGCTGCTGTACGTCAGCAAAACAGAATAATCAGATAGTAGGCTGCCATCTGTGTGAAAAGGCCTATCAATCAGTCTGTTTTGCTGGCTGACCTTTTTTTTTTTTCACAAGCAGTGGCCGCTGTGACATTGTCTTTTGCACGAGCTTGCCTTCGTTCAGATGAAGGGAACGTTAATGGAAGGGCGAACCTTTTCACCGCTTGTGACTCCTTCAATCTCCTCTGACAGTACATTGGGGTTCCCATTTCATTGATCGAGGTACGGGAGGGGGGGGGGAGGAGGAGGTGGGAGGAACTTTGACGTGCCTCCTGAAATTCGCCAACGTTTTTGCTTCTCGTGCCTGCTCGAATGTGCTCGAGAGTGAGAAACCTGGTTGCAACCGATGCGGTGCATTGCATTTCAAGGTATGGAGGGGGAAGGGGACGGGAGGCGGCAGGAGATGGTCATTATGTCACGCCAGCAATACATCTATCTATCAATCTAGAGTGTTGGGATATGGAGAGAAAGGAAGAGCGGATGCGAGGATGTGAGGATAGGGTCAGACATTCTTTATATTTCCACCCCACCCCTGTTGGGATGGTGGCAATTTGCGGAGATGATGGGGGGTGATGGGGGGGGAACATGGGCAGACAAAGTTTTTGACATGGATTAATGTTCTGCCTTCAATTTTAACAATTCTCGGGTACGTCACCTCTGCCTTTTTTTTTTTTTTTTTGACAGTAAAGATTAACAAAAGTGGAGAAGGATCCAATGAAAAAGTGTATGTGGTGGTGTTGCTCACATCCGGTACAATAAAATGGGACTCCATCCACTACACAACACTCTACATGCATTTGGATGCTTTCTGGAACAGGTGCATTCTGACGAGTCCAATGTTTTCGATGCATTGGGGCCAGAAAGTGTCCAAGTGCATGTGTAGCAGAAGCAGAAAGAAACATGCGTAATATACAGTTGCAGAAAGATGACACGAAAATTAGAAGCGCTCTCTCTCTCTCTCTCTCTCTCTCTCTCTCTCTCTCTCTCTCTTTGCAAGTGCTTTCATTTCTTTCGCAATT